TCATTTGAGAATTCCCAGGCTTTTAACTGACTCAAGATTAGTTTTCCCTGACAAAATAAATGCAGCAACAAGACAATAATAATAACATAACAGGTCACCAATTTAACATGTTTAGCTCTATAACATCTAAATGCACCTCTCCAATGTCTAAGAGAAAAAAAATTTAATGAACATTTTTTAATGTATGGCCACTGTACAGAAGACTGCCATATGATAGCACATTCTAGCTTCTTTTGTCGTTTTAGTAACTACATTAAAATTACCGCTAGGTGGACAAAAATCACACCATCTGGCCGAAAATCACCCGGCTTTTTCAAATCACGCGAGAATGTGTACAAAACAACATAAATGGCGCCTGCAACGCTTCTGGGTCGTTTTCATCGAATGTCGGTGATTTTAAAGTAATTTTGAGTGATAAATAATTTTTTTTTGCGATCCTGGCACTTGGCCGGCGGGCAAATGCAATGAAATTTGTACTCTTCCGATAACAAAAACTACTTGCCCTGGGAGATCGGGTGATAGATAACATCGAGCCCTGACATATATGATCATAAACTATGAGCTACATGACAAAACACACAGTTCTTATTTTAACTGATATTTGAAGGTTGAAAGTTACCTTTAGTCATACACTTGTAATTTATTTGAAATCACCCATTTAAAAGAATGAAGCTACAATGAAGGAAAAGGAAACCCAAAATGAAAATTGGAAATAGTTTTGGGGTTATATTTGTTGTTTATTGCAATAACCTCTATTTTTAGCATGTTCAGCCAACAAAACATACACTACTTCTTTGAAAAGCTTCATAACAAGGCAAATGCCTAATAGAAATTGAAGAGTAGATGTGTAATTTTAATAAAAAAATTTTTTTTTTTTTTTTTTTTTTTGTTGCATGCCTTTTCAATAAATTAGAATCTTGGTAAAAGTTTATTTTAGGAACTTTATACAAATTGATTACACACAAACTGCTCTTTTAAAAAATTTAAAGTAGGAATATCACAGTTATAATGGAATCACAGTTATAATGGTAATATGGACTTAATGAAAAGATTGTTAAATACTTGTGGAGATTATTTATAAAAAAGTTTTTTTTTTTTTTTGTTTAACAATTGAGCCTCGTTGGAATTACAGCTGGACAATTAATTGCATTTTCAATTTTATTACAATTTAACAAAGCACCATTTTCAAATCGCAGAAACACTCAATTTTCGGTCATGTCATATCAAACAAGAGTCAGGAGCTACATTTATCTCTCCAGCCCTTTAATTAACATGCCTAAATTAAAGTTTTTTTTTTTTTTAGCTACATAGAAGGGAAAGGAGACATGCAGCTAGCATGCATACTAGTAGAATTTAGCACGTTTTCAAGGTCATGAAGAAAAACTAAACCCTGTTATAAAACATGGACATGGAATATCAAAATAAAATCTCCATATTGGTTTCAAACAATCACAATTTTCTTTTTTTTTTTAAACCCTTTTTATAATTAATTTTCTCATTGATGCAATGCAACTATGCTCTGTATAAAGTCAATAAATTAACCTTTTATTGCTGTAGCATAAATCAGATTTAACAATTTGGAAACTATATCCAACAGTTTAAGCATTGGTGAAACTTAATGAATTGCATTCATCCTATCAGATTGATTTTCTCTTTGCCAATAATTAATAAAAAAATACATTATATTGTCTGTTACACTTAATGGTTTTTACCTGTTGGTTGTGACTTACAGCTAATGAAAATCTTCTGAATGGATAATATTTTTAATACAGGATTGTTAGGTCCTATACAATCATGTGGAAGATTGCTGACTCTATGGCTGTTAATTGTAAAGTCAAGAAGTCTGTATTTGCAAAAGGACGGTAAGAACTAATGGTCATTGCCAAATAAGCTGGCTGTCAGTATGCTGATTCATTGATGGAAAGTAAAATGGAAGGAAAAATTGTGAGACAAAACTGACCCACAAGGAAAAGAGATAATTACAGTTGTAAATTAAAGTGTGTTTGGTAGAGATTAACAAGGTGTGGTGTGTGGTTGATGAAGTTCTATCAGAATATTTTAGGACATGTCATGCTTCCTCCTCTATGTTGTCCAGCTTTCTTTAGAGGAAGATGAAACACTAGACCCCAGTAATCCAGATAAATTGAAAGCAGCCATTAAACAACCAGGGCCTGCTTTCTAGTATTATTTGTAATTAATCTACATGTGAGATTCTCCTTTTAATGCAATTTCAGAAATGGATGAAGTGACATTCAGTGGTAGTAAAATGCATCTATGTTGATACAGTATGAAGGGTGTTATTTAAAAACTGAACCCCTGTAATACTTTTTTACATGTATTTTAAGTAAATTGGTTGTAACATATTAGGCATATTGGTCTAAAAGTAGTTTTATTTTTGCCCTCAATTCTTTGTTTATTTATGTATATAATATATTTAAAATCATATATAACCAGTAGAGCTATTGTTAAGTTTAACATGAGAGCAACATCTTTTGGTGGCTTTTGGTTGTTTTAACTTGCAGCAGGGAACTATGCTGGGGGCTCTGAGGGCCCGCCTAACAGAGCCCAATTCTTGTTACACTGTGCATGTAGTATCCAACACACTGGGATCTATAACCTAAAAGCAGATTGTAACTTTTATATTGTATTTCGTTTTTGTTTCTTAGGATGCTGACAAGAACATCATTAAGTTGCTGAAGGAAAAAGGGCGCCTGGTCAATGCCAGCACTTTCAAACATAGCTACCCTTTCTGCTGGAGGTAAGAAGTCTTTCCTGCAAACCTCACCTTATGTCTTATTTTTCATCACCTTTTGAAAGTAATTTTGTCTTCACAGAAAGATTTTATGTTTAAAGGCTTTAAAGTTCTTGTTTTGCACTGCGAAGCTGGGTATGATGAGGGTAGGATAGATTGACAGTTGGCCCATTGCTTATTTTGAGATGCCTCACCTCCTCAGTCAATTGTTTGTGATTCTTCTGACTTTTTTTATCTCAGACCTTGGCTTCTTTTATTAAATGTGGTGTCTTAAAAGACTAAACGCCCTAACTTCTTATGTCGGTAAAATCTTTAAACAAGCATTTCTCAACTTTTTATGCAGTATTTTTCCTGATTAGAAATACTCTATTCAACATTCATTCTAATCTGGTGTGTTGGAGTAGTTAAACTCTTAAAACATCTAGGCCACTGGCCCCAAATTCTGGACAGTCATGGTTTATTGTAACCAAATTTCTATGTTGTTTTAAAATGGTTAGGTATTGTGTAATATTTTTAATGATTTAACTGAAAACTTCCCTTTGCTCTTTAAAAATCCCATTTTGTTTTCTGAAAAAATCTGTAATACATTTGTTGAGTAGAACTGAAGCTAAAAAGAGGAAAACATTTAGATTAAAAAAAACCCGAAAAATTCCCATCACACACTGCAGGAATTCGAACTCTTACAACCTAGTAAGAGAAATTATTATTTATTAATCTGAATGCAAAAAAGAGAGAAATAAGCAAATTCTAAACTTTGTTCTTTGAAAATATCAAGTGCCACCAACTAGGTCTGAATAATATCGACAAAACTTAGATCATAATAAATTTTGTACATATGGTCATTACAATACAATTTCAATATTGAAATCACCAAAATAAAAGCACAAATGGCTGTTCCAATTTATGACAACCTTTCTAATATGTTTAAATAACTCCTCTAATAAGACTTTTAAGAAATATTAGTTTCAATAAACTAAACAAATACAACTAGAAAAGCACTTATAGAGTGCAGGCCTCTGCCAAATTTTGCCCCAAATTGTGACTTAAACCCATAGCTAAAACTAGCACATGATCTGGATCATTAACAAATTTTTATTAATTGCTCCTTAGAACGAGGCACGCCTCTGGTCAATGTCAATAAAATCAGTTCATACGTTTTCAATTGAACCTGCTAACAAACCAAAACGTTCCCTTTTCTTGTGTTTTTATCTTTAGTATAATACCTTTTTGAGTCTGATGCACAGGCCGTCAATAGTAACTGCTGTCAAATATCATGATTCCCTCTGAAAACCTAAAAAAAAACACTATTAACTCAAATTTGTTTCCTTTGCTGTGTTTTTCCCCCTACAGTAAAATGATTTATTTTAAGAAACATCAGTAACCTTTTCAGGCCTTCTGTTATTCTTTCCTGACTTCAGTATTAGAATGATCCAGCTGTAAACAGATTTTGTGCCACAAAAGCTATAAAACAAAGTAAAATGTAAATAGAAAAGCAAAAAGAAAAATGATTTTAAGCTATCAGATCAGAATTATACCCTTAAAGTACCATTGGCCTTGAAAACTATAACTCACTCGGTTACCTGTATCAAAGACTTGGTCGTCTACACCACAGACAAAGATGCTGTTCCAAAATCTGTAATTTATTAAAATTGAAGATAAAGTGTTTTGTCTTACCCAATGAAAATAAATCTTACCCATATCTTTGTTGTCTTACCTGATGAAATATTGAAAGGTAAAAATGTCATCACATTTTTGAGAAAGACCTGCTGGCCCATAGATAAAAAATGTAACAGGATTTTATGTGTAAAAAGGGTTTATTGAGTAAGAATAGATTGTAGGACAATTTTTTCTTTTTTCTTTTTATGAAATGACTTTTATTTTTCAGGTCTGACACTCCCCTGATCTATAAAGCTGTCCCCAGCTGGTTTGTGCGAGTGGAGCACATGGTTGAAAAACTGCTGGATTGCAATGGGAAATGCTACTGGTAAGCTCTGACCAACCGATATCTGTCTTGGAGTTAAGTGACTGTAAAGTGTCATCTATGAACATTTCACCAAACAATTGGTCTTACATGTTTTTGAGCCAGGGCAAATGGCAGATGGGGTCTCAAAACAATTACATCTGTCTCAGCTGTGCAAGTTGCTGCTCTGTCTATGCAGGCCTGGCCACATAGGTCTTTAAAGAGTCAATGAGGAATTTAAAATCCAAGTCTTTGCAGTGAATTATTTAGGCTTTTATGCACGTGGCATAAATTCCTTCTTAAAGTGTACTTAGGCAATGAGCATTTTCTAGGGGAAAATTAGCATGATGATACATCTGCGTAGGATAAGTTTTAGCGTGATGGCTTTTCTAAGTGGTTTTACCCATGGTGCTCCCAGTGCTCTTCTGAGCCACACTAGCTGCCTCTGGTAATAGGACTGTCAAGCCAAGATGAATGACTTGCTGCAGTGAAGGTGAGGACGCACAGTCACACATGTAGAGACTGAGCCGAACACCTGTGCTCCTTATCTAAAGACTGTTACCACCTTCAATAAACTGTCATATTAAGCTAACCCAGACTAGATGACTTTCATTCAACATTTAATTTGCTATATAATTAGTGTTGGCTAAATGTTAGAATTTTACGAATTACTAACTATTTAACTAATATTAGTATTTAACTAATTTTACTAGAATTATACAGAATTAAGAAGAAATAGTTAATGATTCTGAATTTTTTATACACCTTTTAAAATAAATAATTTGATTCAAATCCTTAATTTGATATAAAAAAAATTAATGTTAAAGGTAAAGATGTGTAAATACTTGTAGATTTAAAAGAAAAAGAATTAGTGTTTTTTTTAAATGAAGATTTCTACAAACAAATCCTCACAATGTTCTTTGTAGTTACATTTAGCTCATTACCCCATTTACACTACCCTCTGAAAACCGAACGGTGTCGAGTTTACACACCACGCTTGCACAGTTCCTCGCCTCCTAGTGACGATCTATGGTACTACTGCTCTCTAGAGGTAAACGAACGAATCAACATGGCGCCGCCCGCAACATTCAGGAAGTTATGTTCTGTTATCATTGTGATATTTTGTTGTTTGTGGAGAGTCATGTGAAAAAGGCAACCTTTGGTAAATTTACTTAATAGAGTCAGCTATTGGGAATTGGATGCGACAAGCAATAGTCTAATCAAGGTTTACAGATGCAGCAAACAATGAAGTATGTTGAGGTTTATCCCACTAATAAGCACTGTCATCACTGGAAATCGTGTGGCACAGTAGTAAAGCTAGTATTTTTGTGAATGTCTGAAATTTGATGATTTCGGAGGCTGATTGTAAGGCGATGAAGCAGTCTGCTCATGCGCTCTTTGTTATCTGAGAACTATGTCAGAAGTGAACCACGCCGAGCCCTACTGATGAACTAGTACCACGTTGACGCGGGTCGGTTCTGTCTGGTATGTTCCAGTTTAGTTTTGTGTGCCATTTACACTCAACAGTTATTTAGGTTACCCTGCTCGGACCGATACATGGTTTCAAAAGGGTAGTGTAAATGGGGCTTATGTTGGCTCATAAAAAAAACTCTACCAGCTTAAAGCCTTCAACACACTGAGTGCAATTGTCTGCCCCATCTGAAAGAAAATCGTGTCATAATAGAGTGAATGGAAAGGAACACATCCGACACGATTTTCTTCAAGGGGGCATGCGTAGCTCCAACTCAATTCAGCAGCAATTTCATGGGTCTCACAGGAAGAGAGACGTCGTTACAAAGTAAAACACATCCACTTTGGAGAAAATACAAAATAAAGCTCTCAATGACACACAGCACAGGCTGGAAAAAACATAGACTTTCAAAATAAATAAAACATCTCAATAAACTGAATACCTTATGCATCATTGGAGTTCAGAAGGATAAAGTAATATAGTAATGCTCTTTTAGCCTAAAAAAACAAACAAAAATAATTGGGACAGTGAAGGAAAAAAATTAAGTTAACTTCACTCACTGAGAATCACCTCTTAGTGCCTCATTTATACCTATATAAACCATTTGACAGCCTTTATTGTTCTATTTTCTTTTTCTTTAAATGTAGTTCCTATTCGATTTTATCTTCTCTTCCGGTTTAAGAGCATTCAGTCGGTTTGACATGGAAATATAGTGCATCAGATATTAAAAGCTTGGTATGGCGCTTAATTAAATCAGTCAAAAATAGCTAGTTGCCATTAGGGATGGAATGTATCAATTATTGAACTAATTTAAAGTTGATTGATCTTATCGATCAACCAAAGATTAGCTGCCATTTTCTTAAAGAGATCCGTGACTAGTTGAACATGTTGGCCTAAATATGTTGTAATTTCCTTACAATTTCCATTTATGATGCATCAAAAACTCATAACTACTTCAAAAATTATATATCCTTTTAAGTTTTAAACAATACACAGGTGCCATGTTTTATCTGCACAGTGCATCCTGAGTCGATGATGTGTTTAGAACTTACTTCATGTCGACCTACAGGTTAAACACAGGAAGCCTAACATTACCAGAGTTGGTTTTTATTGTATTGTGTTTGACGGGTTAAAAAATTAGACAATGTCACTTTGTGTGTGTCAAAGTTTTTATGATTTGTTGTACACGAGACAACTGTTGAAGCAAACAAACAAATGTTGGCTTGTGATCAACTGTTTAGCTGTATTAACGTGAGCTAACATTAAATCAAAATCAAATTGGTCAATGAAGAACGGCTCTTTGGTGACAGTGAAGCACCTTTTACCAATTGCAGCACATTATCATTATATATATGAGAAAATATTTAGATCCCGATGCTTACCTTGGACATCCTCAGTGTAAATTTATTAATTATTGTTCGTAGCATAGCTGTCCAACATTTGTTCATTATATAATTAAATTCAAAACATTAGAAACCCTTTGATGTTATTTTATTTACAAACTGTTCGTACCTGATAAAGATTTGATTACTTTTATTTATGCCCAAAAATGTTCAATTCATAAAAGAGATGTTAATTATTTTGCTAATGATTGAAACAGCAGGGATTTCAGCACCAATGCCTTAAGCATTGTGCCATGGTTTCCATTCAATTTAGCAAATTTCACTCCATTGGATTTTCTAATTGAGGCAGGAGGTGGATTAAAAGGATCTTGAGCAAATTTGGATAATTCAGTTTTTTCTTTTATAATTGCAACCAGTTAATGTCACACACTCTAATTGTACACAGATCAACGAGTATTAACTTAGTTGGCTTTATAGCATTTCTTATGGTTGTGAGTTTCAGTGATGTCTTCTTTAGTCTAAATTATGATCAATGATAAACATGTTTTTTTAGGACTGAACTGAAATGCTTAAATTGAAATAAATACAGCATTTTTTATGCAATTTAGTGTTGTTGTTTTTTTGGAATTACAATACAATTTAATTGGAAAAGGGTTCACCTAACTTTTTTTATTCAGTGTTTTCATCAAAGGTAAGGCTGCATAGTGGGTAGCACTGTTGCCTTGCAGCAAGAAGGTTCTGGGTTTGATTCCTGGCCTGGCATCTTTCAGCATGGAGTTGCATGTTCTCTCTGTGCATGCGTGGGTTCTCTCCGGGTACTCCGGCTTCCTCCCACAGCCCAAAAACATGACTGTTAGGTTAACTGGCTTCTCTAAATTCTCCTTAGGTGTGAGTGTGAATGGTTGTTTGTCCTGTGTGTCTCTGTGTTGCCCTACGACAGACTGGCCACCTGTCCAGGGTGTACCCCGCCTCTCGCCCGTACACTGCCGGAGATACGCACCAGCACCACCGCAATCCTGACAAGGACTCGGCAGGAGAAAATGGAATAATGGAATGTTTTATCATATTCTTGTCCAACTAATCATTTCCTGTCACTGAACACAACCTCTCTCTCAATCTTTTTGACTCTTGTTTCCACTGGAACTTATGATAGAGGCCTATAGGTCCTAAATAACCCGTTTGTCTCCTGCCTGTTTTAAATTCTTGATTTAGCTTGAACTGGAAGAAAGACGTAAAGGATGGCGCAGTCATGAACAGCACTAGCAGAAAAAAAAAAATCATTAAATTGATTTATTAGGGGCCTAAATAGAAATGCCTCTTACAAATGGGAATTGATGAACTCTTTGCTTAGCGCAGGGATCCTGGTGACAATTTATACTCCCCACAGCACTGTTCTTGTGAGCAGAGCGGCCTGGCACAGCAAGAGAGAGTAAGGCGGCAGAATAAGGAGGCGATGGGGAGATTGTAGATTAAAGCCAGAACTCAGCTCAAGTAAACAGGAAAAGGAGAAAAGAGCAGCACACGAAAGAGGAGGATGCCTTGGAGGAATTTATTCCTTTATGACTAAATTTCAGCGAGAGCACATGTAGTTTATTTACTACACTAAAAATAGTCCATTATTTTCTGGAGTAGAATAAGGAAGAAGTAGAAGCCTGTAAGGGAGACATATTTCCTTTTGAAAGAAATAGTAGACTTTCATGTATTATGTAAAGTATCTATTTGCTTTTCTTTAATTAATGTAGACTTTTCAAAGAAAATTTTTCCTTTGAGTTCAATAAAGTCCCAGATAGGATATTAATCTGTATATTTTATGCTATTCCTTTTTCTTTTAAAATAAAATTTTGGGAATTTCACAAATTCTTAATATTGCCAACAGTCTTCTTTTTTAAAGAACTTCTGTATTTTCAATATGTTATCAGAACCCTAAATTTAACCCTCATTGATTATATTTATTCATTCTTACCTCTAGTTCTATTTGTGCAAACTTAAATGTAGATAAGAGTTTAATTCAGTCTGACAAAGGTTTCTAAATGTTTTTTGTTCAAGATGGCTGAAATCTGCTTTGCAAATTCTGTCTCTTCTATTAGGGGTCGCTCTGACTCAAATGGGTTTAAGGTCAGCTACTGAATGCTGCTAAATACTCAACCCTTCATAGAACATTCAAGAAATGATGTAAAATGAATCTAGAAACAAAGCAGTATTTTGTGTGTGTTTTATCTTTTAGATTCCTGACATGAGTCATCTCTGGCAAAATATATTTTTAATAAGTTGAATGAAAATGCATAATAATGTCTCCGTTTTTGCAGGGTCCCGGAGTTTGTGCGTGAAAAGCGTTTTGGGAACTGGCTCAGAGATGCACGCGACTGGGCAATTTCAAGAAACCGTTACTGGGGCACACCAATCCCTCTCTGGGTCAGCGATGACTTCCAGGAGGTCAGAAAAACACAAAACACTCACAGAAAAAACATTTCTTTGCCTCTTTTCTGCTTCTAATGTCTCTTAGCATTTGAGGAAGAGTGTACAATTTATTTGTCTTTGCTAAATGGCAAGATAGCTTTTTTTTTTCAGAGGGGGCTGATTGTAGTGTTGGCAGCACTCCAACCTCAATCTAGAATCAGCACAAGAGGGCTCAATTGAAAAGTTACACTCATCACTCTTGAGTTTTATCCTTGAAAAATATCTTTAGTAAAATATTGCACAAAAATCCAGCTTTTATGATACATTCGCAATGTAAAAACTTCTCTTTCTCATCCATTTCTGATAACTGACAATGTGACCAGTAGTGGTTCTCTTCTCCTTGTGGAGTCTTGTATGGGAGAGTCTTCTTGGCATGGCAGGGTAATGGTGATCACAGCGTGGAAACAAGTATGTAGCACGACTACTGCAGTCGGTCAACTCCCTTCAGGCACCATCATGCAGTGTCCCCATTAATCTGTATATGAAGGATTCATTGATGTAAACACCAAATTAATCTAAATAGAAATGTATTTGGTATTCAATTCTGTTAATGCATCTTCAAAGGTGTTCAAGCAAACTTCTTTTTGGGGTTTTCGTAGTTAAAAGACAGAAGATGAAAATTAGCGAGGGAAAAGTAAATCATGCGGATAGAAAAGGGGGATGAGAGTGAAAAGCTGAAAGGAGAGGCAGACATTAGAGAAGCATGCCAAAGTTTAATGGTTTCTTTTTTTGAAGAATATTTGTTGTCAAACTCAGCTGACAGAGTGAAGTAGACTGAACTGAATAGAGATGTCAGAACTGGGTTATTTGAGCATTTGAAAAATGAAGCGACAGTCCCCTGGCTGAAAGAGGGATGGCAAACGACCTGCTTGCTGGAAATAGCTTTGCGACTGTTTCCAGAACATTCAAACTCCCTGGTGCCTTCCTCACACAGTGCTCAGCAGCTTAACCACACACTTACATCCAAACCTGCAAGAATCTGCATGTCTGCATTTCTTTGATTGTCTTTACAGGCTTCCTCCTCTCAGCATCATCTTGTTTTGCCGAATCTCTCTGTGAGCTTTTGCTTTTACTATGTCTAATTTGCACAATAATGCTGTATGTAGGCCACATTACCTGGTGCTGTGCTAAAACTAGAGCAGAGCCTACAGGTTACTTCTCTGAGGAGACCAGATAACACACTTTGTCGTACTTTGTAAGGTGCGATTACTCAGGAGGAGGCCTACTTTTACTTCTGTGTCTAAACATCAACACTTCCTGTCTGACCTCACAAATCTTAAACGTCTCATCATTTTCCAAATGTTTAGCTTGACGGTATAAATTCTTAAATAATACCTGAATCACACTATATGACTTGAGAATTGGGATCTAAGGAAAAAGATGAAGAAACATTCTGTTGTCAGTGTCCTGTTGTGGTAACACAAAAAGTAATTATTAGTCAAAAAGGACATTTCTGACCTTTGCAATCCCATAAAACAGTGGTTTCAAAACAAAGATCTCTCACCACTTAGGATTTGTCTATAGGAACTGAAACAGATGCCAGAAGTGGAAGTTTGAGCACAAGCTGTTTTGAGAATTACATTGCTTCAGGGGTACAAACCCCCAATTTACATTACGTCCAGCTCTGCTCAGCCATGAACTCTGCAATAAATTCACTCCAATTATAATCAATGAGAGCATTTACACTGCGTCTCCTTAGCGATGCAGAGCAGCAGTGTTTGTGGAAGACCATCTGGCCAAATTTGACTCGCTTCTGTTTATTGCCGGAGCCAGTAAACTGATCGATCACATCTGTATTTTTAAACCAACTCACCAAAGATCAGCACAATTTTCCTAAAGATTCTGCTATATTATCAAACACACCCTTATATTTTCATGTGTCTATTTAAGCAATTACATAATAACATAATAACATACATACATAATAAGATAAATGACTTGGCAATATTCATTAAACTATGTAATATAAACTTAAAAATGAAAGACAAAAATTGACAAAAAAAAAAAGCAGCAAATCTAGCTTCTCTGCACTTGGTGTACTCACCCATTGTAAAAGGGGGTGTTTGGTATGACAAGCTTATCACTGGTACGAGTGTGGGTAAAATTGTTTTGCAAATAAATCAAAGTTTTTTTGCTGCCAGACAAAATATCAATCTTTCAGTTCCTAGTATCTGTTAAAAAATATAAAAATAAAGCATTTTTTTTATCTAAACAGAGTGGAAAATGAGCTACCTCTGCACTGCCACCCTGGTAGGCAGCGTTGTGAAGTCCTTTTGTTGTGCGGCAAAGCGCCATATCTGTGGTTGAGGCAGTCACACTGGAAGATGTGAACTGACCCAAACCCCAAACAACATGCATGCCAAAATAACATAATGATCAATATCTTCTGATGAACATGTACAGCACTTGCTTTTTTATCCACACATTAAATTTTGATAGCCTGGGAAAATATCGCAATATATATAGTGATACTGTAATATCGCGACATGTATAATATAGCACGACTCAAGCCAAAACTTGCCCCTAATCACTGGCTTTTGTTGAGTATTTGTGCCGCAGCTAGCGAACGCATTAGCTAACGTTTCTGTCACATTAGAGTAAACAGTTCTGTTTCCTGTCTGAGGATTTACTGGACTCTGTATATTTATATACCCTCTTAATGCTACAGCAGTGTCAGCAGACATAAAATAACATGAGAACAGGGAAGCTTGTTCAGATACAATAAGGATCTTGACCAGAGACAGTTTGTGTGTGTACTTTCGAATGTTCTTGGAATTTGCTTAGATTTGTCCTCTCTTTTTGGGGTGCGGATTGTTAGGTGGTCTGTGTGGGGTCCATCGCTGAACTGGAGGAGCTGACTGGAGTCAAAGTAACCGATCTGCATCGGGAAAAGTAAGTCCTATCAGTGATTTCATTTTTTTAGATTGTCCACTAAGATAACTAATAAGGGTCTATAAAAAATGTAAACCCTGTTGAAATGCTTGGTTATTGTGATGCACAAAAATGTAAGAGATCAATCATTTCACTACATTTCCAGTTTTTCTTTTTTTTTTATAAGCCAAGTTCAGAGCAGACTATATGCAGTCTAAATCCTGGGTTAAATTTGCATTTTGCTGAATCCCCTTTAGTTAATCATCTTGAGTACAAAAGAAACTCACATTACTTTATTACATCATTGCAAAGTGAGGCCTATATCAACAATCGAGAAAATGTAGAACTACATCGACATTTCCTAAACTGGACTTTTCCCCATAATTGACAAAAAGACTAAACTGCTCCAGGAAAGCTGATAAGAGGCCTGAGAAGCTGCAGTGATTTCTAGTTTACATCAATTGTTTTCAATCTTCTTTGATTTCATATTCTTGGTGTAAGAAATTATTGAAAGACTAAATAATTTTCCCCCAAAGGCAGTCTGCCTGAAAGCTAAGAATGAAGAGAGATGTCAGTCCCTGCAGCACTAGGTTCAAATGCCCAAAAAACACTGACCTCACCCGAAGGAATGAAAGTTTTTCTATGGCTCTTTAATAGTTCAGGGCGAAATCTGACAAAAAGCCATTAGGGCACCTGAATACAGATATTCTTACAGTCGAATAGATTTAAAGTTTTTTTGAAGGATGAATTGAGTAAAAGTTACCAAGAAAAGATATAAGAAGCTGATAAACTTTTTTAAATTGCTGTCTGAAATGGACTCAAAAGGTGCTACAGATTATTACTTCACAGCATTTTTTATAAGTTGAAATATCTGGGAATAATTGTCACATTAAAGCAAAAGCACAAACGTTTATGAATGACCTACCCTGGTTTTATTTATCTACATCATTAAATCTATGATTGCTAACATGGCTGTTTAATTTTTGTACTCATGTAATTAGTTTAGCTGTGATGGTGGGATGCCCTCAGGTTCCCACATTACTCACAGACTGGGAATAACACCTGATCTTATTAGGTTGGGCTTTTAATTGCATCAGTTAATGGGACTACAGTGGAGCTGGTATGTGGTTGTGGTGGAGCACAGATCGTTTTTAAATTCCTTTAATATTTTCCTGTTCATTTCCAGACTCTTTAATAAGCCTTAACTTTTGAAGATAAATGATAAAATCTTTTATTATTTTTCTAACTACTTTATTATTATTTTTATGTTTTTCTGTAACAATAGATAAATCCTAAAATATTGAATTCAGAAGAATAAACTAAAAAACAACAAGAATTGTATGGAAATGTATCTAGGCAGGATGAAATATTTCATCAGCCCCTTTTTATGATGTACATTTGTGTTTGGTTTAAACATTTGCAAAAATATCTAAATAACTTATTTTATGTTGAGGGTTTGTGATTATTTTTCAGAACATCTGGTGAAATTTTAGATTTAGAAAGACTGTATAAATCTTCTTGTGAATAAGCTGCAAGAGAAGGTAGGCTGAGCTCCAAGCCAAAGGTGTCGCCTGTAAACCATGTAAAGATTGGGATTAATAATAGACATTCACACTAAGAAATAATGAAATCCATTCACCAGCTTCATCTTTATCTCTTATAGAGTTTCTGCTCTAGAACAAGCTAAGATTTTGGTCCAAGGTCTCTCAGAATTTAATGAAAGAGGAAAATTAACACAATCTTTTCAGATATATTATGTCTATAAAAAAAAGTGAAAATGTGGCATTAACAAAACTATTTTGCAACAGCCTGTCCAATTTCAAAACCTAAGCTCAAACTCCTGAGTGATGTTTTAATTAAACATATCCATTTTGAACTAATAAGACATTAAACGCTATTATGCAAGTTTATTTTTTTACTGGAACTAAGAATTTGAAAATGAAATGTTCCACCTTGTCTCTGTTTGTTCCTCCAAAAAATTGCAGCCTGCTTAGTTTGCAGACTTTATGTGATGCAAACCTGTTTCACTTAAACTTGAGGGTTATAATAACTGTTGTTGCTTTTTTAGAGCACTGCAAAAAGCTTATTTTAGCATAACTAATGTGTTATGTATGTTACTTGTTATGACACCAAAAATTTACTAAAGAAACATGAATACAGGACAACTAGTAGTGGTTAAATTTTAGCATGTGGCCTTAAAGTAGGGAGCCTAGCTTATCTACTTATTCTTTGCATAACTCATAAAAGATCTCTTTATAAATTGTTTTAGTGGTTCAGATGTTTAAGGCTCAGACTGAAAGCAGAAGTAAAACTGTGAAAGCTTCCAATTTCTGAACTTTGTTCTTTTCTCCATCCTCCATTTCAAATGTTCCCTGTCCAGCATTGACAACCTGACAATCCCGTCACGGTGCGGTAAAGGCGTCCTGCGGAGGATTACAGAAGTGTTTGACTGCTGGTTTGAGAGTGGCAGCATGCCATACGCCCAGGTTCACTACCCATTCGAGAACAAGAAGGATTTTGAAGACACCTTCCCTGCTGACTTTATCGCTGAGGGCATTGACCAGACCAGAGGATGGTAACCTGAGAGTGAATGACAGGAGAAAGACTGGTGATAGTTTAGGGAGTGGGAATGAATGACAGAGAAGAGGATGAGCAGCTATGATCTCAGCCATACTGCTGTACTAACCTTGTGTTCTGTCCCCGTAGGTTCTACACCCTGTTGGTCCTCTCCACAGCGCTGTTTGGGAAACCTCCCTTTAAGAATGTCATCGTTAATGGCCTGGTGCTGGCGAGGTCTGTCTGCTAACTTACAATAACACCTAAAATGCATGGTCAATTTATATGAGAACAAAAAGTAAAAAGTAAAACTACAAATTATTTATAAACATCATGAACACTGTTAACTCTACAGTATTATGCCTTTACAATGTTTTTTCTGTAATAAAATTTAGATAGTTTTGCCTTTATTTTCTTCATTGCATTGGGCTCTAGTTCTGAACCATCTTTGACTAAAATATCCCAGGCAGCAGCACTAACTGCACAACTTGACAAGAAGTAAATCTTTTCCAAATTTGTAAGATTTATTATTGCTTTGTGTAATTTGAAAAGGATTATTCTTTGAGTGACCCTGAAGTTAAACAGAATACTGCTGTTGTTACTTCACATCTATATCCATGTACATATCGCCAGAGGATTTAGTTTTATAGTCATATGAAAGCATTTAGAGTTGATTGGTGGTTTGTGTGTGTATATTTGAATACTAATTTATGATACCATTAAAGTTTGATGTGGAAGAGGCTCATATGCCACTAAATGAAGACATTTGAACTATTTTTGGTTGTTTCATACTGCTTTGAACTGCTGTCCTTGTAGTTATTACTGATCATGGATGAACAGCATTATGAGCACAATAAAAGCAACAAACGGTGTTCTCACTTTCTTTATAAGTTTTTCTTTACTCAGTCTTTGATATTGCAGCCTAGATGCTGCTCCAATTATGGCTGCTTCTTCACAGTCATGAGATTACATGTAGCTTTGTGCTCACAGGCCCGCTGACCTGGAAGGTCTTGACTAATTTGAATTTCAAGTTCATGGTTTACAACATGCTTTTTCGTGCTTGCATACATGCATGTGTATGTGCAGTAATGGCTTCCTGTTTTATTCCCACAGCGATGGGCAGAAGATGAGCAAGCGTAAGAAGAACTACCCAGACCCTGGGCTGATTGTGCAAAACTATGGCGCCGATGCCCTCAGGTCAGCCTTGGTTCATAAATATGACAGTTTGCATGTTTCCAAAACCTTGTGGAAGTTCAAAGGTCAGGATGCTTAAATCACTTAAAACTCTGTGTAAAACAGTTACTTAAAATATCCGTGTGTTCACATGGAGTATTTGCACACTCATGCATGCTGTAGATGCAAATCCAAACACAAGTCCCCTTTTGTACATCCTCCCATTTGCCCTGAGCAGTGAGAGTGCTATTGCCATATGGTGTTATGAATAAAACACTTTGCAGTTGCACCATATGCTCACATATAGGCTGAAAAAGAGCAGACTACTGAATTAAAGAGATGAAACCAGCATTCTGGTTCTGTTTTAGGTTCCTATCTTTATTTTTAATGAAAAAGATAGTCAGAGTTGAGGATGGTTTAACGGTTTATTTGTACTGTATGTTTACTTTTTTACTATTTTTAGGTTTCCATAGTTTTGTTTGGGTTTAGAGTTTAAACAGCGATCTAACCAATCCCTGATGTGTGCTTCTGATTGTTGAGGTGGATGTTGCTTTTTCTTCCTTCAGTTATATGATAGAAATGAGCAATGATAACAAATGTTACACAACTCTCAATTTAAATAAAAAAAAAAATGGACAAATAAAAAAAACAAAAAAAAAACAAAAACCATATCAACTATGCATAGCAGATGTAGGAAGCTGCAATGCATATGCTTCCCATGATGTTGAGGCATGGTTTCCGAATGCACAAATGAATTTGCAAACACATGCACATATCAGCAGATACCGGCACAAGAAAATAATGGCCGCCGCTGCATTGGTCTTTCTTTAATTACACATATAGATTTGTTCAATTTTGTTTTTTAAGCTCTTTTTTTAAGGCATTTTTAAAATTTTATTATTGACATTTGATATGCATTATTTTCTTATTATGTGTATTGTCTTTTGCTACCACTTTCTTTCATGTATTTACGTTTTGTTTTGTTTAATATGTATTTCATTCAACCCTGGTATTGGTCTTTCTTGAGATGAATAACAGTGTTTAAACTAATTTGCATAAATGCTTAGAATAGTCTTCCACCTTCCCTGCTTCTGCTCTGGTTTGGAGCCTTTGCTTTATACCTAGGGATGCGTGTAAATCACAGCCTGAGTTTGTTTTATGTTTGCATTTAAAAAGTTTTGCAATTGAATTAGGAGTGACATGCAAAAAAGCTATGTTTTATTACTGGGTTTATAACAAATATATTTTGAATGCACACTATACCTTCAGGATGAAGTTACCTTATCACCTAAGAATTATAATTATTTATTTTTTTAAGATAGACTCCATGTGACACTTTTCTCTTTTCAAATCTCTTCTGCAAGTTGTATCGGTCTTAATCTTCTGCACAGAATGTTCAAATGATCCGCACAGAAGATTAGTTTCTGTTTTTCATCTTAGGCGCTTTAGGACACAGGTGTTCTGCATGTTTTAGATTGTACCCTGGTTAAATACTCATCTTATTTAGGATCATTATAATTTTTTTTACAGCTTGGATGAACTTTTGTGTATTACGACACTTTGGTGGATTTGGACAAAAAAAAAGAAGTGACTGGCTTTTGTTGGTTAACTTGGAGATGCATCTAACATCATCAGACCTTGGAAATTATACGGAATGAGCTTTTACTCCCTCTATCTCTGTGCAGGCTTTACCTCATCAACTCACCTGTGGTGAGGGCAGAGAACCTGCGGTTCAAGGAGGAAGGTGTGCGAGACGTGTTGAAAGATGTGTTCTTGCCGTGGTACAACGCTTATCGCTTCCTGGTGCAAAATGTCCAGAGATTGGAAAAGGTCACTTCTTTTTCCTAATTTTCATATAATCATTGTTTCTCTGTTGTCTCATTGATTGTGTTTTAGAAAAAAAATAAACGTTTAAGAGTTGTCTTGCTCTTAAAAGAATTTTCCTCTTGTTCAAAAAGTAATTGAAATCTTATTTGTCGTAGCTCACACTCTTACTTAATGCATTTATTTTTCCAGACTGAATATAACATAGAATAGCCGCTGGTCGGGAATTCTAAGACAAAAACGTGCATCCATTTCTATTTGTTTCTCACATCTCATACACCTGCAGTATTTGCCTATGTCGGATGAAACTCAAGCTAAAAATAAAGAAATACATTTTTAGAGCAGAACAAATTGACACTTAGCTGCCAGCATAACAAATTAATCTTTATTTGTTTTTTATTTTAGTATTCATTATGTTTCAGAATACAAATGCCAGTCCAACTTGCATTGATTGGTTTTCTTGAACTTGTCCGTATTCATGCCCTAGGAAGATGATATTCAGTTCCTGTACAATGAAAACACTGCGAAGCAGAGTGACAATATTATGGACAAGTGGATCCAGTCCTTCACACAGTCTCTCATCCAGTTCTTTAAGGCTGAGATGGATGGTAAGAAAAACTTCCCTGTATATCTATGTATCTTAACTTACAGTAGGATGCTAATTCATGGTGGCTCTCTGGTTGCAGCTTATCGCCTATACACAGTGGTGCCTCGCCTGGTCAGGTTTGTGGACATGCTCACCAACTGGTACGTCAGGACCAACAGACGCCGCTTAAAGGTCAGATTCCAGATCTGGAGTTCAGGATTTCTGCTAAAATTAAATGTTTGACTTGAAACTTTGATCTGATTATACTGTTGGTTAAGGTATTAATAATAGACAACTAAAGAACTACACTAAATGATGCATTGATGAGTGGAAAAAAAGTACATTTGAACCTGTGATTCAAATAAGTCCTGTTTCTGATTTTGGGGATACTGATGACGTTTGTGACATATTCCCCAGATTTCTGCTTTTTTAAGGGGAAAAACATATTAATGCGTTTTTGAACTTTGTAGGGCGAGAGTGGTACTGAGGATTGCCTGTGGGCGCTGGAGACACTCTTCAGTGTTTTGTTCTCCATGTGCAGGTTGATGGTGAGTCATTTGGTTTCTATATAAAAGCAGCTCAGAGCATGAAAGAAAGGTGATTGCAGGGAAAAAATGTAATGTTTGAACGCTTTACTTTGATGTTTGCTGGAGACTATGAAGAAGATCTGGCATCGGAAAAATGTGTGTGTGAATTATGTATAATGGATGAATGTTAGGAGTCTCTTTTTTGTTTTGTTTTTTATACACAAAGTGTTTGCATGGGAGTCTTGAGGCAAGCTAAAAGCCATTCAAGCTATTCCATGTCGATACAGATCAGCTTTGAGTTAACAAATTAATTAGAAGTGATTTAAAGGGAGCAGAATCACATTAGAAGATGGCTCACAATAGCTTAGTTTTGTTGGAACGTTTGATCCAAATTGGAATGAAAAAAAAAAACAGACTTTCAGACCTTTTATCTCTTGAGTGTAAATTTACCACACAGCAGACAATTTAATCATTTCTCTGTCTATTCCTCCTCATGCTCTTGTCCTCTTGCTTTCATGTCTCCTGCTCCTCAGGCTCCCTTTACACCCTTCATCACTGAAATGATGTACCAAAATCTGCGTCACCTCATTGACCCTGCTTCTGTTGAAGAAAAGGACTCCAACAGCATCCACTATCTCATGCTGCCACAAGTCAGGTCAGAAAAAATCCTTCAGTAAAGCATCAGGTCAGAGTCAACCTTAGAGTTTCTCATGGAAATAAGTACATTTCTGTGAGGAAAGAAGTAGAATTTAAGCTGATGTTTTACTCTCCGAAGCCCAAATGCGGTTTAACGTCTTGTGACATTAATATATCGTTACTCCTTTACTTTGAACCTATTAAGAAGCTTTAATCTGAACAGTAATTTTTTTTTTAGCTCATTCGTTCATTACTTTTTATCTTGCACTAATAAAAGTTTTATCAAATTTATTAAAAATTAGATGCATTAAAAGAAAACGGATGTTTGCCTTCAGTGTAAACACAAATTTTGCGATGTTGACCACAAATATTAGTAACCCTGATAATGAGGAAAAAACACCTTAAAGTTTAGATTTTAGCACAGTTGAATTATATAACACTGAAATTTAGAACATTTGTTTTTGAGCCAAAATATATTTTTTATTTGTTAGAAAATACAATATGTCAAGAAATAATTGTTATTGAGCATTAGGACAGACAACAAATATTGCCATTGAAATTCATTCATCAATTTTTTTTTTATATTCCTTTTTTGATATTTAATCTATTTGGATGTATAAACAAAAGTACATTTTTGTTGGCTACTGGCCAAAAACCAGTAACGGCAAACCGGAATACAAGAGGGATTAAAAAAAAAAAAACTTTGCCATTGGATAACTGCAGTCCCAAAAATAACCATCATTGTCTAAATACCAACTGCAGATTGCAGCAAATTGCACCGAACGCCATGTTTTTCACATGGCTTCTCTCGGGCTTTAGTCAAAAAAAAAAATGTGCTGCATAAGGTTTGTACTCTCATAAGAAATCTAAAAATTAGTTGTCCCCTATCAGGGGATCAGTGGACCTTATCATATACAAAAATAATGCATATCAGGCACATAATCAATCTTGTCAATACCATTCTCTGTGTCCTGACCAGGCTTCTTCAATTTTAGCCCTCATTGTCTGGTGTCGTACATCCTTTAGATGTTCTCACACATGTGAAGGAAATGGCCGATTTCCCTTTCAGTACACGGTCAATTTCCCCAGAGTCCTGCTAATGACATAATTGACTCAGGTGTGATGAAGCAGACTCTCATCTAAAAGCTGCAAGACACCGGACGACAAGGGCCGGAATATGGAGCAATAGATTGCATTTTCTATATAAGTGTAGACCTACATCCTGTATTAACCTTTGGTGAACCGATAAGGAGAGCATAAGAGAACATAGGACTATGTACAATCTTTAGATATTTTTCAAAATGGTAACAAGTGATAATACCTGGGTCCTAATCTGAATATTTATAAATGGTCTACATGCAAGATGAACCTCTCTGAACTTTTTAATAATGCTAATACTACATTTTTTCAAAAAGTTGTATTTTGTTTAATTAATGCATGTTTGTGTAATGGTGCGTCCATTATATTCACTTAAAACTTGAAAATCAGCCTAAATACTTATACTTGTTACAAACTTACATTGAAAAACATGAGCACTGATATCAGGTTGAGATAATCATTCATACCAGCAGAGTTAAGTACTGCAACACCACCTGGATAATGCATGGTTTGTCCTACTTCCATCAGCAAACAGATGCAATAATCTAAATATATTTACTGAGTTACATTCAATTGAGAAACTTCTTGAAAAAAAAATGCACTTTAGGAGTAGTTTTACAGCATTGTAATTTTATCTTTACATGAGTACGAATATGATAAAGTATCACTACCCTTGAGTAAAATTTCTGGCTCCTCCATCCATTGTTAGTAACTACGCTTACTGGAAACAAACTTGTTTTTAACAAAAGGGACAGACTTTTTTTCTTTTTTGTACTCGAGGCTAATTGGTTTGTTATTTTCCATCTTCTGAGTCTGCCAGTATAAGCAGTTTGCTGTAGTTGAACCTATTCTTAGATACTGTAACTATTGATTTTGCAAATTATATTGATTAAAGCAGGGGTCTTCAACGTTTTCCAGGCCAAGGACCTCCAAACTGATTGCGAGATGGAGCGGGGACCCCCTAATTATTTATATTGTATGAAATTGTGTTATATTAAACTGGTCCTATAGCCACTCTATTAAAAATATTAGTAATGTAACGAAAGTAATTCCTCCCTGGGATTATTAAACTATTTCTGATTCTGATTCCTGGTTGATGGGACAGGTGTTGTGAATCAAACGGTGCCCAGCTTGAAAGAGCTCCTGTGTGTCGCTGAATGTGTGCATTGATGACTGAAAGACATCTTCTGCCTCCATTTATCTGCTTACTACAGTGTGTTTTAAAGTGTCTGACATGATTTTTCACCTAATGAAAGAAATAACTTTCATTAACTCCACTGTAATTAAAGACATAACAGAATACAATTATGACCCAGAATAGGCTAATTTCTTTGTCGACCGGAAGTGGTGTAAAGCGGGAAGTCTGGGCTCATATATTGACCAATATCATTCATAAGCCACTATGGTAAAAGGCAGGCTGTGCAAATTGAGTAAAACAGTGCATCGCTGCTGGATTACTGTGATATTGCACATCACTTTGCACTTCCTTACTGAAGAGAATTGGCGCTGTCTGGAACAGAGCTGCAAAACTGACATGGGACAGCTTGAAACTCCACCAGAAAGCAGCTTATGATCTTTATTGTACAGATTTCATATTTTTTAACTGCTTTATTCAATTTTATCTGAACATATCCTCTGGATATATTTTCTTAGAAGTTAAAAAGTTCTTTATTAGCCTGGAAAGAAAGGGATTATCATTTTCTTTGTTTCTTTTCTTGGCAACCTGTTGTTTAACATTTAAATCATGAGGAACGAATAGCTTTAAAAAATATCCTATACATAAAGAACACTGACTGTGAAAGGAAATGTTTCACATTAAACTATTCAACTTTAATTCACATTTCTGTTTTTGTAGATAATTTTTTTCCCCCTACCAGTTTGTGGTTCTTTGATCAAAACGGTATTTGTTGCTGCCATCATTCAGGTCATCTTTAATCAAGCGAAGACTAAGAAACACCCACAAATGGCTCTGCCATTTTCCTTATTGTTTGCCCTGCAGAATGGATCCAGCTGATGAAATATGATTTTGCTCCCTTCACTCCATTTACTTAAGTGAAGTGCGTGGCTTGGCGGCAGATCCTTTTTGAAATGCCTTGGAGGGATTCTAATCGTCCTGACTTAATTACATCATCTTAAACTCTAAAGAAAAACTTCAGACCCGATTAAAAATGTATTTGTCTTGCATAAGGAATGTAGTTTGTGTAATGGTTCATATAATCTCTTCTGTCACTTAGACAGAATCTAATGCTGCAGCTCTTAGTTCTTGGTGCTTTTGCTCTAAAAGCTCAGTTACCAATCTGGTGGTGGGAAACAATTTCTCCTTAGTCCTCTCATTTAATGATTGGCTGTGCCTAGATTCTGCCTTCTCTCTGCCACATTGTCCTCAAATATAGAATTAAGTGAATGAGGTTTTAATAATGATAGCATTTGTTTTCATTAGTTACTTTCTTGCTCTAATTTGAGCTAAGAGGAAGCTTGATATTTGGTGTTTTTGTTATAAGCCGTTTCTCGTATTTTGATATCCTGTTATTCTTTCTGCATCCGACATTTGCATTTATTATTCAGTATTAACTGAAGGGTAAGAAAAAAACACCTTACTTTAAAGCTGTAAATATTCTTAAAAAATAGTTTTGTTCCAAAGCAAGGTGTCAGTGTTAGATAAAAAATTTGACATTTTCTTTTCAAGCTAAGATTTGGCAAAAGGCTTTAAAAACTAAATGGTTCGATGCAGTTACTCCTCGAACTGCTAAGATGTGGTGGACATTATATTACTGTTTATAATGTGATGATACTCAGGTTTCCTTTGCTTATCTCTCTGTTTTTTAGGGATAATTTGATTGACAAGCGTATTGAAAATGCCGTCTCCCAAATGCAGTCTGTGATCGAGCTGGGAAGAGTGATTAGAGACAGGAAGACCCTTCCTGTCAAGGTATATCACCATTCACTTGTGTTTTATATACCACTCTGGGAGTTACAGTCAGACTCCTGCTAGCTTAAGGTTGGAAGTAGAAGAACAGCCCTAGTCGATTGCTTATGGATTGATCTGTTGTGGTTATTCTTCCACTGACGGGTTTAAATTGTTTATCAGAGGAACCCTTCACTCTGTGTGAGATTTACCATTTATGACGTTAGTTGAAGAATAATATTGATAAATTGGCACAAAACAGCATGATTGTAAAAACTCCAAGTGAAGTAATGCAATGTTTTCCAAACAAAAAGAAAAGTTTGGTGTGCAGTGGTTTTTATCCCCTCATTTGAATGTATTTGTTTTAGCTGGTTCATCAAGCCACTATCTTATAGAAGGTAATAAACAATCATGTTTGACTTACTAAACATTGGTACTAATTTGAACCCAATGTCTTTCTCTCTATCTGCTTTTTCTCTGTGTGTTTTAGTACCCATTGAAGGAGGTGGTAGTTATCCACCAGGACCCGGAGGCTCTAAAAGACATCCAGTCTTTGCAGAAATACATCCTTGAAGTGAGTAAACACTGTGTACTTTGTGTACCTTGTTGATTCACACATCTTTGATAAGCAGAGATTAAGGAAAACATCCCTGGAGCCATGTTCATTTTCCATAAGCAGTTCATTGTGGCTGTGCTGAGCATCAGAGGAAGTACAACTTCACATGCTGCTTCTAAACTGTCCTATAATTGAAAACTGTACCGTCTGCTCCATTCACAACGAAAACTGAAGCAGGTCTTTGAAAGTAGTTATTTAATTTCAATGTGCATCTAGTATTTTCCCCTACCAAAACATTTGAGGCAATCTAACCAATAGTGTGTCAGCTGTGTTAATCGACATTATTAAGTTGCTCATCTGTATGTGTAGACTCTAGAGCTGGGGTCTTCAACCCATTTAGGTTTTCTGTTACCTCCCCAGACCTGACTTTAATAAATGTGCAATAAACAGGCCTCTGCAGCACTGGATGGCTAATGAGGTCATGCTATCATTTGATGCAGCACAGACACATCTAAAACATGCAGGGTAATGTGTCCTTGGAACTAGAGCTCAGTCTTAATACTTTAAATCAGTAAGGGCACATGACTTGAGTCCGTTATCTGAGGCCATGAGAATATCATTCGCAATTTTCACCAGAGCTGTTTCAGTGCTATGATTAGATCTAAAGCCAATAAGCAAGTTTTCCAGTGGCATTTAATTGATTGCAGAATAGTTTTTTTGTGAGAAAGGCCAAATCAACCAAATGCAGATTTGGAAACGTTTTGAGCTAAGCTCAAATCTTTACCTAAAGACTAAAATTTTCAAAATGCGGCTAGCATTTCCAAATTCAGCATGATGCCTTAAAAAGATGCAAAAAAAGAAAGAAGCTTTGCTATTCACAGATGAGACCATAAATTTCTCTGCTAGAAGTTTTGCTTTCTCTCACCCTTCACTGCCGTCTCAACATGCCTCAAGAAAATTGTTGTATTTTTTAATGTCCTTTTATTTCTTTGTGCTTCATTTAACTTAATTTTAAGCATTTTGATATATAAATACAGTTGAATATTACATTTAGACTCAGTAACTCTGTTCAAACTAAGGGGGTGACCAGCACTGTGGTCTGATTGCCTCAGTCTTTTAAAAGAACAGAATTTCCATCTCATCTATTGAGGCTTAAGCAGAAAATCAACCACATAATTTGATCTTTGAAACAAGAAAACTTGATACATTTCTAAATATCTAGAAATAGATTTTCATATATTTCTAAAGTTTGCTGAAAAAATAAGCACAGAAGTGTTGTAATATCAGGAATTCTAAATTCTTTCTGGCATTACTAAGTTTTCACTCTTTCCTCTTCCAAAAATGAAACTGATGCAGCGAAATGAAGGAAGAGGTTCGGTACAAAATGGTACTTGCTGTTCTTGCATCTGAGTTTTAGCTTGGCTCAGCTTTCCTTCGCTGACATGCCTGTTGGTGTCTCCACTGATGGCTCCAGTCTCTAGTGAGCTGGAGATGCTCTTTCGAATATCGGATGAGTCACCATTTGTGCTGACAGAAGCCTCGGCTCATTGCAATGCACCAGTATACTGTAAACTGCCACCTTCCAAGTCACCACTCGCATAAATTCATATTTATCCTCTAAATAGGAAAAAGTACAATTTTTTGTGAAATTAGTGCATTAGCTGATTCCTGCTCAGATTTTTAAAACCCACACTGCCTTTGATTCTTTGACTCGTCCCACTGCAGTACTCCGTCTGTGCTCGCTGTCAGAAAGTTAACAGTGCCAGAGCTCAACCCGAACAGTGTGATTGACTGAAAGGAGGAGGGGATGGAAGTGTTGTCAGTTTGGTTATATTTAGTATCTCTGTTGTTCCACTGGATACAATGGGATCACAGATTTTTCTTCCTTTTGGTTAAAAAGTGAAATATTGACTGAAGCGCAGGACTGGCTCATTTGAATATATACTGTGTGAGGAAATTACCCTTCTTGATCAGTTTAGTTCAAGTTTTAGTATTGAGCCTAGGGTATGTTAGTCTGATTAAACGTTAATTCAATTTTCTCTTGCCTCATTTTCTGTCTAATTCAGTTGCTTAAACTTTCTATAATAGGTTTCCCACACAGTCCATATTTGTTTTCTCTGTGGGCATCCAGAACACAGCTACTGTACATTTTGTGTTGACATGGCACTTTACTATTTCTCTTTTATTCCCATAGGAGCTCAATGTGCGACAGTTGACACTTTCCACAGACAAGGACAAGTACGAGATCCGCCTGCGAGCTGAGCCTGACCACATGGTGCTGGGCAAGAGATTAAAGGGGGCCTTCAAAGCTGTGACTGCTTCTATCAAGGAGCTCACCAGTGAACAGCTAGAGACCTTCCAGAAAACAGGTACAATTTGGCAGAAACAGCACTAAATCTTTAACATCATAAAAACTTCAACATTTTATATCCTCCTTAGGTTTGTAATCCTATTGCAAATCTCTTACCCTAGAAGTATGAGGAATTTGATGTTTTAAGCTCTAATTTCCTCACCTTTTCACACACGAGTTTTTATTTACACACATATATATATATATATATACACACACGTGTGTGGGTATGTTTGGTTAAATCAACTTAAATTGGCATGTTTGTGTCACTGACGAGTCCTAATCATTTAACTATTCTTAAATTATACTTTTTATTTTATAGTTTTACTTTTTTTTTCTCCAAACAAAATCTTATTTAGTGGGCTGGTTTTCAGTCTGTGGTCAGCAAACTGATATAGCTTTAGGAGATTGCTGAATGATTGATAATCAGTGTATAAAGAAAATGAAAGTTCTTTCTAGGGATAAACGGAGATAAAAATGTGGGCTAATATAAAAAGGTAATATTTCTATATGACTAATGAGCTGTATTATTGATATTTCCCTACTTTTTGCAATTCTTGCTATTTTGTGTTGTTTGCTAAATATTTATATTTTTTATTCTAATTCCATGGGATGTTTAGCAACTTCTAATTATAATTACTTCTTTATTGTTTTTTAATTAACAATCATTTCTAATTATTTTAGAATTTGTTCAAAAGGTGTTTATCGCTCTATCTGTATCCCTTAGATTTCCTGTCAAAGATTCCAGTGGCAATTTCATAGTTTTTTTTTGCAGTTTTTTTTTATTCTTTTGCTGTCTTTTATTTTTAGAAATCCCACTCTTCGCCTTTGGCCACCGTGCATAGTAAATGATGGAAATTGTAAACTTTTTTGCAGTTTTACAGATTAAGGTCTCAATATCTTCTCTGAACAGAAGCATTTAAAGAGAGAGGGAGCTGGTGTTATTCAAACCTAGGAGCATCCAAAAATAGTTAGCTTTATTAAAAGTGATTTATGTTTTGTTCAAGGTTATTAGAAAGTTCTTGTATATTTCCGTTAGGGGTGTAAATAATAATCGTTTTGTATCGATGCATCGATCCAAAAGCCGACGATCCGATGCATCGACACGTCTGCAAGATAATCGATTAATGTTTTTTTTTTTCCTCCGGTCTATTTTTATCCATTTGCTCCTGGGCGTAATTCTCCCTCCCGTGCTGCGGTGCCGCTAAACCTATTTTGCCCTCCTACCGCGCTTCCTGGTTATACTCTTACAGCAGTTTGTTGCAGCAAGCTTCACACAGACATTTTTAAATTATGCTCAGTATTGAAGCGTGGTCTGGGCTACACGCTGTGGGTCTAGATACGGCCGAGGCGATGAGGAAGTGGGGGCGAGTTTAGTCCGACGACGGAGGGAAAAAAGAGCGGAGATTCAGCTGGAAAAATGCTCCCAGCGTTCTCGCGCACCTCGCTCTTCTAGCGGGTCAAACTTCACGAGTTGTTTTCCGCAATTTCGGTCATAAAAACAAAACAAGCCGGCCTCCTGTCTGCTGCACTGTTTGCGGTCAGCTACAATCTGGGAGAGGAGCAGCGGAGCGTCTCTTCTTTTTTTTAATGGCGGTTGGCAAACAACTTATAGGTGCATTACCGCCACCTTCCAGAATGGAGTATGGACCAGACAAACTATTATATTCTCCCTAAAATACCCGTTCTTCTTAGAAAATTAAAAATACTACCAAAAACTACATCCCCAGATGACCTTTGAAACAATTCCCTTATATCTAGTTTATTTTTATTCCTGTCTAACTCTCTAAGCAACATCTCTCTTTCCTGAGTATATTTATTACATTCTAAAAAAATATGTTGGACAGTTTCTTTGGAGCCGAGGTATTGCATTGAACTCATTACACTGATATTGTGCAGTATTTTTGCAGTATTTTTTGATGCAACTTTTCTACTTCGGTTATTTGCTGTTGTTTCTAAAGAAAATGCGTAATGATATTACAGCTTTCATTGATTTATTTCAAACTTGAAACTTTGTTTAGCCTGTAAGGTGTAAAAAAAATAAATAAAAAAATAATAAATAAAAAAAATAACCGATTAATCGAATCGAATCGAATCGTGGTGTATTCTTAAGTATCGAAAATAATCGAATCGTTGGGTCAGGAAATCGATACTGAATCGAATCGCCATGATGGATGTGATTTACACCCCTAATTTCCGTCTTATATAGTGGAAAAAAAAACAATGCAATCATAACTTCATTAGAGAATGGAAGGAAACAGAAATCTGGTTGCAGTTTTCAAGTGTTTAGAGGATTTTTCATTTGGAGTGATTGGCAGTGATAGAACCAAAGAAACACAGATTGCTGTCACTCGATTTAAAGGAGTCTGAAACACCTGAAGTATTTTTTTTCTTTTTGGTGTAAATAAATGTAATCCTTTCATCCACCTAGGATGTCCCCCTAGGAGATGCACTCTGTTATGCACTCATGGGGAGAAGAAACAATCCCCTGAAACAAAACAGAAATGTCTAGGGACCCAGTAGAGTTGATCATCTCTAACAGCTTACCATGTTTGAATACATTTGTTTTACTTTTACAAGGTTGATTAAGTTAAACATTTAAATAAAAAAAAAAAAAACAACAAATGGGAGAATCTTTACATATTTGACATTTATTAATAAAACACTTAATTTCGGGCTGTTTATGATTTTAAATCGGTGAAGCCTGTTGACCTTTCAATATAATGCAAAGCAGTTAGTGTTTACCCTCCAAAAAGGGTTTATTACCCATAGGGTTGAACCTTATGCCCGTTTTGTGGTTTCAAGTGATAACATTCCTGTTTTACATTCATCGAGCTCCAAAGATTACGTTTCCTGTTATTTTAGAACCAAAAACAGATGGGCGGTGGCACTCTGTCAAAATTTCTCTTAAATCAGTTGCCTAATAAATGTGTATTTTAAGAGCAATGCAGTCAGTGTAAAGAGTAAAGCCTTGCAATACAAGTCTGTAATACATATACGCACACTGAAACACACACAGCCAGTTTATCCCTAGAATGCAATCAGAACCAGAGTCGGGATCAAAGCAGGTCAAGGTATCTTGTCTCTCCAATTATAGAGAGACGAGGAGAGCCCCCAGAGTCTCTGGAGAAGGAAACAGCAGAGGTCAGCTGGGCTGTGGGAACTTCAGATTTCCAATCACTCGAATGTTTGAAGTCAGGCCAGTTGGAAGGAAAAAGGACATGAATTTCTGGCAGGAAGAGATGGATCTTATACAGCATGGCAGAAAATGGTAGCAAGAGAAAACTGAAAGATGAAATGGGTGCACTGTCACCAAGTCAACCCAGAAAAAAAGGTTTTAAGCTTCAAAGTTATATATAAAATAAGTCCTAAACTAAATGCAGCATAGGTACAGTTAACAATAAATATGTTCCTTTATATTGTTTGAAATATTTAAAGAAAATAAAACCATTGGAGGCATCTTGCATGCAAACGTTTTAAACAAAAGTAAATTTAAGTTCCATGGCTCTAAAATTGTTCCCATCTAGATTAGGAGGATAGACGTTTCACAAGAATAACCGTTGCTTGGTAGCTATTCTTCCCTTACATGTGACTTTGATCCCATTATGTCTGATAAGATAGAGGAAAAGAGGTCAAGGCAGAAGATTGGAAAAGGCAAAGAAGCAGCAAGCGACACAGGAAACCAAATTGTGGAAATTTTAGATTAGAGAGACAGAGGGAGACTGTTTTATCGAGCCTCCAGGGGCTAACAGGTAAAAGGACAGAAAAAAATATGGTCACGGTTTTAAAGGAGAACACAGACGTGGCTAATTGATGCCATGGGCAAAGCAGATGTTACAGGTAGATGGCTCCTGTATTTTTAGAGCTAGTAATGTAAATGTGAAAAAAAGACCATTGCTGAGAATCTTACTGTAAAATCATCCTCACTTCTTTAGTTCCAAAAGAAAAATACTGTGAATATTTGATTTTAGGAAAAAATTGTAGCATAGATCTATTAATCATTGAACCACCGTCAAGAATTTCTGATTACTGGTGATGAGTTCTTTGTATCTCTCTCTGTGAAGGAATGTTGGCTCAATCTTCTATTCATATTCTCTTGAATTCAGCCATTTTGAACGGCATTCAGTCAGTCAGTTTTTAAAGTTTTTTTTCCTTGTTTTCATGCATGTATCTCTAACAGTGCTGTGTGTCTGATAGAGATGTAAAGGAACACGCTGTCTCTTTCTCATCTAATTAATATTTTTATGTAACAGATGGCTTTTCTTTTTAAACATTTTTTGCAGCCTGCTATGTTGTCAGATGGGTTTTATTAAGGTGATTTCCAGATTTTAGATTTTTAAGTCGGTTGTCCAGCCTCGGAGAGGCTTGGAGTGGAAGAGAAGTATTAAAAAAAGCGGTTTATCTCAGTTAATCTCAGTTAATTTGTTATTTAGTTAGATTTTTATTTTACACATAGGGCCACTTTGCTTTTGATAATCTGTTCTTAATAGAATTAGGAGTTAAAATTGCATGATATATTTATTCATGTGGGTTCCATCTAATTGCAGTTAGTTTAATCCTTTTAAATGTCTTACAAAAAGCAGGAAGAATCTCTAAAAGGGAATTTCATTTTGCAGATCTTCACATGCATGATGCATTCATTGCACTGCAATAAAAGCAACTTTTATCTTCTTTTTGAACATGCATGATTTAGGATAGTTACATATAATTCACCTATCTTCAGTGTTAATTTGTCATGTTGAATTTTAAGGTTCCATTGTGGTGGACGGCCACGAGCTCCATGAGGAGGATCTGAGGTTGATGTACACCTTCGATCAGACTTCTGGCTCTGCTGCACAGTATGAAGCACACTCTGATGCTCAGGTAGGTTTGTGATTGAAATGCTCACAGTATTGTTTTAACCACCATCTGTAAATGAAAAAGGATAAATTAAAAAGTCTTATGATTATTAAAAATGCTTGTTTGATGTAGACTTTGTAGGCAGAGTGTCATTTATATACTCTTTTATTGGTTGTATTGCATTGTAGTATTACTTATAAAGTAACTCATCTGCTAAGTACGACGCATGAAATCATTTCATAGCTGGGTGGAGAGCAGCAGTGTGTCTTTTTCCACAGGGCCTTTCTAATCAGTGCTCCTCCAGCCGTATACACACCACACGGCTGCACCTTAATACCAGAGTACTGAACTGGCTATTTTTATTTTTTTTATTTTACAATTTTCCCCTTTATTCACTCATCACAGACTATCTTTCTCCCATCTGTCCATCTCCCAGTTTTTCTGCTTTCTATTTCTGTAAAGAAGCCTTGTTGTTGTACTTCTCCTGTAGCCCTCCTTCCTGCCTATTAGGGGTGTGCAAAATAATCGTCATGATGATGCATCGTGATTCTAATTTTTGTGATCTACTGCATCGATTCTTGACGCCAAGTATCGATTATTAATTTAAAAAAATGAATAAA